CGCGGCCGTGACGAATCCAATTTGTCGCCGCGACACAAGCTATACAAAGAAGACTCTCCGCCACCTCGGTAGCGCGTATGTTATCATTGTCACTATATCCAATTTCTGCAGCAACAGAGACAAGGAGACAGCAATGTTGATGGAACTCGAAGACTAAACATTGAGAACATTTCCGCCATTGTAATTTATTGTTCAGTCATTGTTCATATCGGTGGATAAATCTAGATAATGCATTTCAAGTTACTTTGTATGTATTTGTATGCAATTATATGCGTGTTGAAGAATTCTACGAACGCTCGATAAAATCTCTCGTCTTATGACTTAAAAATGTACATATGTCAACGCCATCGTTATCGCGACAGTTTAAGCAGCACAAACATTGCTAGAGTTTCATTTCGTTGAGGGACTTAAGGATTCGTGAACGTCTGCTACCGTGGTATCAAATCGAGCACGCTCGTCCTACATCGATACTCATCGTTTCGATACTGTTCAACGTGGTTACGCGACAGGAAGCGGAAACGGAATGAATCGCGGACAAGCGTCGCTTATCGCGCCGTTTTATCTATCGCGCTAATTTTTATTATTGCTATGTTTATAGGATGTTACGTGGTCGCCGCAATTCTAATATCTAGCCACATCCTATCCGGGAAAAAGTATTTCTCTTCCCTTCCCTTCCTCTTTTTTTGATCCTTCCGTCTAATAATATACTGCAGGAATAACTTTGTATCCGTTTATATCAAATTTATATCTGATGACGAACATTCCGAAATAGGTACATCACAAGCCTGAGGTGTAAGTTTAATAAGATCGATGCCGAAAATAAAAAAGTCCTTGCGTTTTCTCGTTCTCGCGTGTGTTGCTTGCATGGATCCGTAATTCAAACGCGCGACGAGAGTAATTTATTTTCGGCGGGACGAGCGGGGGGACGCTTTCCGGAACGCACGATTTAAATGCTCGCGGAGCGCGAGCCTGTCTTCGGGGGTGACGGACAAGGTGCCGCGGGGACAGCGTGGATCGTTCACAATGTCTTGTTGAAATTACAGACGTGCCATGACGGAGTTGGCCGTTGGTGATCGGAGTCACAGTGGTTGCATACGATATTGGCTCTAAAATGTTGAGATAATGAACCGTGGAACATGAAAGACGTTTGCAATTGCGAATCATCGCCACTTCCGTTCCGCGCTGTGAATAACACGTATTTGCAAACGCAAAAAGTAAAACAGAATTTATACACGAGTGAAGGAATGGTCAATGTTTTAGTAGCACAAATGGTCGCGACAGAGAACAGAATTTTTCTGATTAGGATCTAATAAAGCAAATATTGGTAGCGAACGATTAATTATTTAACTAATTATGTTATCCAAAGACAATATAGTCTTCACAAAAGTTGTTGAACGAAGCTGTATAATCGATTGATAAATATCAAATGACATGTTTATCAGCTAAGAAGAGTTCTCTCGAAAAAAAAAGATATCTGATATGCATCGTAAAAATAAGACAAGCTTCTGGATTGCATACGTTACTGATATCGAATGATGAGAATGTTATTAATATGCTGAAAAATAAGCATGCATGCATCACCGACTGAAGTGACGGATACGCGGACGGAAGCGGACCACAAACGCATTTCTAAGATCTGTCTGTCGTTCGTTTCTAGATAATTAAAATTAAATAATGTTATATTAAATAATGTTCGCATACAAAACGCTTAAAGAGACAGAGATATCTATATTTCATACATATAATTTTTATATTAAGTATCAGATGACACATATCAGGTATCTGAAACTATTAGCGCAGTAAAGAGGGTATCAGCTACAGCGAACACACATTGACACACGTGTCTGATAATTATCGACCCGTCATAAACTAACGTACTTCCGAAGTCTCCATAATTCATGGGCATACTCCTGAGTATCGCGCGACCGCCCCTTTCTGAGACATCCCGTTCCCGTCTCCCTCTTTCAGAGACACTATCGCATTATTTACTCCTCATTATCGTCCTTAAATCATCCCGTCGCTTGGGAGGGACTTGAAACTGCCATTACCTCCCTTTAATCGACGAATAATAAAAATCATTCCGGTGCTCCACGGCGCGCGATGGCTTCTCAATAAAGACATTGTCCGTGGAGCAAATTCTTATCCGTTAAAAGGCACCGTCGGTGAGAACAGAACGCGCGCCATCCCCTACCTATCGTCGAGAGACAAGGGGACGGACGAACAAGGACCAAGGATACGACGTTGACAAGAGGAGGGACGGGATCGGAGATTATCGGCTTCGGGATTACAACAGGCTCGGAGGCTTCGAAGCAAACGATTTTCCTCGCGCGGGGACAGCGGAGGCGGGAGCGCAAAGGGAACAGAGGAAGGGCGGACGGTGGTTGAAGGCGACAGAAAAGGAGGAGTGGTTGTTATTGGCTCTAAGGAGAATACTTATTGAACTCTTAGCGGCGTTTTTATCACTCCTTTCTCACGCGCGCGTTGCTTTAAGTGTTTTTGGCTTTGTTTAAGGACTCGTGTACATTCGCCTCTGCCACCCTCCCGCCCGCCAAGCTACCGTTTTCGCCCCTCTCGCATTATACACCCTTAACAGGTTACGCTTCCTCCTATCGTTCCCGCCACACTTCTTTTCCTTTACCGCAAGATTTTTACGAGCTCGACCTCCTTGCACGCCGCTTCGTAAACCACGCAAAGTGCACGGCACTAAAGGGTGCAACTACCACTTAGGCTCTTCCTGACCACTTCCGGGGAAAAAAGGCTTCGAGTAGCGGCGGGTAACTCGTATTCTATATTACCTCTCGAAGATTTATCGACTTGGATGGCTCTATACTTTATTCAACTGGCAGTTTGATCCATATAACGCGAATCCTTTTTCTATAACTTAAAAGGAGTAAAAAGAAAACATTTTTTTTGTAACTCAATAATGAATCATAATCATTTATCCATTGCATCTTTAAATTTATTATTAATAAAAATCTACACATTAATATTTTATATAAAATTAATATTTTATATAAATTTTTTTCAAATATTGAAACCTCTTATGTACGTGATCATATTTGTCAATCACAAGATGTACGTCACAGACATAATTTTGTTACAGTTATAATATATAATGACATACTTGCAATTAATCGATTTTAATTGTACGTTAGCGGGAAGTTTAATGGCTCGGCATACCTCGCGATGCCCTCTATTCCCAGATAAAACGAAACCCAAGAACACAGAGTCGCCCGTCGCCTAGTACCAGACGGCCGGATAGTTTATTAGGTCGAATATTTGGCGGTAAAAGTGAGGGATGACCGTCATTATCTTCATTCATCCGTGTCGCGCAGCAGCTGCGCGTCGCAGCTCGAGATTGCAGCGAATGGTTAGATGATGTTGCGCAGCTTCTCGGAGACATGGGTTTATGCGATCGTCGCGGCTATTTTTGCCAAAAATCGCGCACGCGCACGCGTTTGCCTTTTCCCCTTTGAAGTTATTTATCTTCTCGATGAGAATACACGATAATGTTCGATAATCGCACGAGATTTCGAAATCTCGCGGACCGACGAGTCGTAATAAAAGGTCCGCGCATTGCCATCGCCGCATTCCGGCGCTCTAACGAACCGAGCGATCCGACCGAATCCGTGTGACGTGCCGCGCTCGTCGTTACTAAATATATACCGAGATGCATCTATTCAATTCGAGCGCGACGTTAATAGACAACGCTGAAGAACGATACGGCTTTTCTAAATTGACTTCGTTATCTATTTCGATAGAGCTGATCGGGCATCATTAGTTACACGTTTGCTACTTATAGCCGCGAGCGGGAGTTCGCGTGGTTCCACGGGAGTGCGGCGAGGTAATTTGAAACGTTTATCGCGAATCTAGGTATCCCGATCGTGTATCTTTCGCAGGAAAAATGCCACGCGAGAGTTGCGAAACGGCTCACCCGAATTCATTATCTGCCGTCCGTACGCCAATCACGTTGCCGTCTTTAAATGCGATTCGCGATGCAAAATCTACAATCACTTCTGCGACCATAATAATTCATATGTCAGTAAATCACTTGTAAATCATTTGTAAAACATAAGTAGAAACTTCCGTATGGCGAATGGTGCATAAAAATTAATTTGACCCTTGTATAATATATACTTTTGCCTTCAGCTAATAGCATATTTATATATAATTTTTGAGAAAAATAAAAAATGATAAAAAATATTTTTTTCCTCTATATATTAGTTTTTAGTAACGTTTAATGTAATATAATATTATGATAATTTGTATTAATAAGACTGTTACTGACACTAAGATTAATATTTGATTACTTATATATATATATATATATATATATATATATATATGCTGCTCGAAAATCTACGCGACATCAATCGATTAAAGAGCCGAGTGTCAAGCGTGCGTGTGGTATACGAACGTGATTGCGTGAAACAGAATCACACAGGCGGATAAAGAAGGAAAGGGAATAATCCACCAAGTGCGGATATCGAACACGTTAGTCATTCACTTCGACATACCGCGGTTCACGCGCGTCTGCACACGGAAATCGCGCTGATATATACACGCAGTGGTTTCGCATGCTACAACCCTCGATTGGTTAAACCACATTATCATTATCAGAAAATTACCATTATAAAGAATTATTTTTGATTTATCAATTCTTCCGCAAACCTTCGAGAAGTCGACTTTCTTTAATTAACAATATTATATCATCATCTACATATCATTGATATTAGTAAAGAAAAAATGCTTGAAAATAATATGAATGTGAAAAATCAACAACTTTTTTTTTACTAGAGACAATTAATTACATTTCTGAATTTCTTCGAAGAAATTACTATCTTATTATTCTATTCTTTCATTTTTAATTAAATATTGAAGAGATATATGGAGAGAGAGAAAGAAGAAGAAGAGTTCAAAGATTCACAATCACCATTTTACATGGCAATACACGAGAGAGTAACATTTTAGTAAAAGGTCTCGAGTTTGATCTAACGCACCTCTTTGTCTTTGGCCTGCAGCTCCTGTTCGAGGTTGCTGTTCGGCGTCCTTCTGGGATTGCTGGCATCGTGTACCTGTTGTTGATCGCTTCCCTGCGGAGGCTGAGACAATTGGTGTCCCTCAGTCTTGGAATTGCTGTCATTCGTTGCGGCGAGCTGTTCTTTTAGCGCGGCTATTTCTTTCTCCGCCGAAGTCGCTCTCTGTAACGAGAGAAAAGACGATAATGAGTGCTTGAACGTTGGCGTTCGTAATTTACAATATATATCAACTCGGTGAGAACTCGAAATCACATTTTCAATCTTGTCGTCGGTGACTTAATTAAGCATACCAGACAGAGACCACATTATGTTAATTGCAAAACTGATTCAAATCGTTTCAACAATATCTCGCGACGTAACGAGTATTATCGACTTTTTTTCAATTATATCGATATAAATTCTTTATGTCACAGACATTCGGTGAACCAATTTCGAAACTAATTAATAGAAAAGAACGGAATATTTCACTGTTTTCGAGCCAATAATAATAAACGGCAGCTCTTTCTATCGAGACGAATGTACTTTGCAATTCACGCGAAGTTGTACTCCGTCTCGCGTTGAAGTGATTTAATTCTGCAATGTAGTCGGAGAGTCGGATCTTAACGACGTAGACGACTGCGCTTAAGTCGTACACTCTGTACAAATTTTTCACGGCGGTCCGGATCGTTAAATTACCGTCGCGGAGCCGTGCGACGCGAAATCAATCAATTCTCGCCGGCTGTACCTAATTTCGCGGCTACGAAAAGCCGGCAAAAATAGAAACGACGGCCCGTCGAGCCGTGCGAGGTTGCTTTGATATTCTCAGCGCAGGAAATAGCAAGCTGGCGTCGCAGTTCTTTGATCCTGGACATTGTAGTGCACCCCGCCGCTCTATAATGCAATTCTTAAATGTTACCATAATTCGAAAAGGTTGCCCTCGAGAGAATTTATATCAAACCACCTGTGCAGCAGCATCATTCGCATTGGAGATATATTTATTCGCTCGTATATCAGGTGATCAGCAATTACCTTTCCCTTCATTTTGTGTATCATGTCATGCGGCAAATTGCAACGACAATTATAAATATTATGTATCGCTGTTAATATTTTTAAGTAAGTTCAACTTTTAGTTACATATAGTGTAAACATTGCCGCTGTAACATGTCAGTTACAATAATTAGACCTCACATGTCGTAACGTTTCTGTATTTCTGCTGAAATTGCTCATGCATGTCGATGCGTAAAAGAGCACCACTCTGACAAGAGCGACGAAGGCGTAGTTCTCGCAAGGAGATCATTAAATAAAATACTTTTAGCGACTGCGTTTATCTCTACCAAAGTGTTGGTTAATTAACACGCCGGTGCATGACACCTACCGCCATGTTATCCCTTTATTAACCGTAAGGTACGAATGTCTTGAGCATGAAAATATGCGATACAAATCGGTCGTTTCAAATCAAAACTTTTCCAATACTTTTCCATAGAGGAAAAAAGAGAATTGATAGAAAAATAACAAAGGTATTTCGCTAGGTACAGAGAGAGAAGATTATCTTTTTAAATTTTTTTGCATAAAGTATCTTGTAAATATTTGTTCGCCGCCTCGTTATTTCGGCTTAAATATTAATTAGCAGCTTTTATTCGAAGTAATTCAGTCCTCGAACCGGTCTCTATCCCCGACTACATTCGCGGCATGTACACGCCGAATAGTTACTCCTGCCTGCAATTCTTGTCCTCTCCGCGATTCTTTCGTCTTCTCTTTTTTCCCGCTGTCCGCTTTATCCACGTCGCGGCAATCCGATAGAAGGCATCCGGGAAGGGATTCGGAATCGATCGGTCGAATCAAACAGGTTATACCGCTTCTGTACCGGCCCACAGCGTCGGAAGTAAAACCGGACCTGTCGCTGCTGCGATCAACAATTGAGTGTCGATGACGTAACACATTATCCGTCCATTCATTAACGTGCAAGCTCGAGTTACACTGACAATCTCAATCGACAATTTGCGCTCTCTCTCTCTCTCC